TATATATACGGGTCTGTTTTATACCGGTACTGTTTTACCCGTGGATACACCACGTTAAGGTGTGTGCTAAAAACGTGCATACATGTCTGCATGAAAGTGTATACTGTATTTAAAAAAGCCTTCTAATTCTATGTGCTCACACGTCACCCAGTGGCGGCACTCCCACATGTTCATAGACTCTAAAATCGATTCAGTAAGCCTTTGAAAGTTGAAACGTTTAAATTCTCATATTCTCGCAGGGCTTCGCACCCTGGATCACTTTCGACAGTTTTATATGCGATGCCCGACCACGCCCACTTTTTTCTCGTCGAGGAGAGATGCCCCGTCTTGGACCACTGGCGTCGCCTAACAGAGGGGGATGAATGTGTGAAATGAGTAAGAGAAGTCTCAGGGTAGAGACCTGGATGGGGTGACTCTCCCTTAAACCTCTAACACCTTATTTTTTAAGTTGATATTTGATTGACTTTTACTGTTTAGCATGGTCATTTTCTGACAAGTTTTAATACAAAACAATTTTTTTTTCCAAAAAATAGAGGGTAGAGAGTAGAGAGTTTAACATTTTAATTGGCTTCCGGGTAGGTGAACTGAACAGTACAATGATGATTTCCTGATAATAAATGAAGCTGTTTGTCAGAAATGAGCAGTATAATAACTTCAACTATATTATTATACTGAATATATAATAATATTTTATGCAGGGTAAACCATGGGCCATTGTTTAGCCAGAAAAGCGGGAACATGGAACAACGTCTTATAAAACTGCATCCAAATTCATTAAACAGGAAAATATGCCTATTGAAAATATGATGTGCACATCATAATTAAACTGACTAATTAATTATCGTTATGAACATGGTGTAATATTACCTCTATACCAGGGTTTCGAGTAAGGTAATGCGATTCGAATTACTAATGTTGCTGCCTCCAATGTTAATAAATAGTTAGTATTTTTGCTAGTTTGTTCTTTGTTAGCCGAGTTCGTTGATGGCCGGTTTTTGTGTTTGTTGGGCGAGATTGTCCAAATGGCAAACTGTCCTTGGTTCGCCTGTGAAACTTACATTATGAATCTGTTTGTTGATTTGCTCTCTGGTGTTGCATGATAATGGTTGGTTGTAGTTTGTAGTTTCAGTGTCTCAATTAAGTCACAGTAAGATTATTTCCTAATGATTTTTTTCAATTTAAGTTTGTTTTTCCAATAAATATGTTTATGAATAATATATTTTATTTGTTCGTTTTTAATCGTGTTTTGCTGCAACATACTCACCTTCTGTATTTTCCCAACCTTTGTGCTGTTTGCAGAGACGAATCGAAACATTCCTGAAATGCTAAGGTAGTTCATTGCTTTCTTTAAGTATTTCAGACGTTCCTCTAATGTGGCCAAAGCAGGAATTACCTCTATGTCTTTTGCATTCTTCATAAGGTGTTCTCGAATCTTTAACAAGTGCTTACATGATTCAATGATACTTTCTGCATTATCGCGATGCAAGGTTGCCACCTTTTCATCTGCTTTAAATTCTTCGTCAAGGCGCTCTAATAGTATTTTCGTGTTTTCTTTTACGACAGAAATGACTCGATCTGATTCGGCTTGGATCTCTTCCTGAACCTTCTCTTTACTTTTGTGGAGATTTTGTTGCACACGGATAGAATCACCTACCTCTTTTTCATATACTTGTATTATCTCTTCAAGGCAATGAACTTGATCATTCCAGGTTTCCATTAGAGTTTCCCTAGGAATCGGAAGTGGGTTGATGTAACACTTGTCTTCACTATTTCTTTGGTGAGAATTTAGACACTCCAAACAAATAAATTCGTGACAGGTGAAGCAAAATAATTCCAGCATTTTGCTGGTATGTTCTTTGCAGGATGCTTTTGAACGATTGAGGATACCATCAGTGCAAATTAGCTCTTTGTACGGCACCACCGTATGACCACGAGTTAACTTCTCGAACTTCTTGTGGTACTCTTCACATTTATTACAAAGATTATCATCGCATTCCAAACAGTGTGAAATACTATTAGGCTGCTTTGACTCTTTGCAGATACTACACTCTAATGGCTGGTTTGCATCCTCTTCTTTTTTCGCCTTTAATAATTCACTCAAGTTCTTTAGATACTCGTTGTCCTCGAAGGATGCTACATTATTCTCGGGAATATCGAATTCTCGGCGACAAACTGGACATCGTAGCGAACTACAATCTGTAGTATTGGTCATGAGCTGAAGACAATGCTTGCAAAAACAGTGTACACATGGTAACTGTTTCGGGTCGGTGAATATTTCTTTGCAGATCCCACAAGTAAGCAAATCTTCATCCTCTTCTAAAGACTTCTTGGATAATAACAAATTCGGTTGAGCCATTGTCATCTAAAAGAAACAATTAATATTGGAGTTTGCATCATTTAAGTATAGATCGTCCTTTTGTGTTTTGTATCTTTTATAGATGCATAATGACATGTAGTCGGTGAAAATGTGGATAAGGACATTGCCACTCAATTGAGTGAAACTCTTCAACGTGATACTGCGCATGGTTATAAATGTAAATTATAGTGATAACCGTATTTAATAAAGAGTTATCCAATGTAATATTTTTATAAATCGTTTATGGCGCCAATAAGCCTATATATTTTGCAGTGGCATACCAATTAAGAGGCTTGAAATGGAGGGGGTCAGGCTCATGGGGTGATGGTGAAGTGGGGGACTCGATGTTATTAAGTAAGGGGAGCTGGCTCACAAAATATGAGCCATAGGCCTACATTTTTTAATATTTTTTTTTTTATCTGTAATTATTTTTATTAACACGTACTATTGTATTTATTTATCATTACATAAACAGTTAATTACATTCGTAAATTTCTAGGGGACTATTCCACCGCGGTAGTAATGGTATAATTGAAGCATTGTGACAGGTTGCAGAAGGAGGAGGACGACGTTTCGCCTTCGCTGGTGAAGTATATTAATATATAATACATTACGTTAATAATAATAATATAAACAAAATATGGATGCGGCACAAAAGCGCTTCGCATGTCTTTTAGATCCGTAAGAGTGATAACGACAATATTTTAATATAAATTATAATGTTCATATGACCTTCTCATCGAGTAGCCTAAATAAAATCAAACCATTTCCTTCAATCAAAAAGTGACTAAAGCCGGACACTCACTGCGTCGTAGCACGACGAATCCACATTTGCTTCCGGCGAGCGATAAACGACGCAACGCCGTCTGCTGATTGTCAGTGGCAATCTGAACGGATCCTCATTAAAAAGACGATCCGTTGGGTCCGCGTCTTCGCGTGCGTTCTTCGTCGCATTGCCGTCGCACGCAGTGAGTAACCCTAGCTGAGTCTAATATTAGGAGT